TATATGAACAATTATTTTAGTGTAATTTTTCAAATTGGTAATTTCGCCCACATTATAGCAAGTTTGTGGGATTATCAATTTGAAGACCCCAAACGCGATGTTTAACGTCATCTTAAAGTTCAATTTAATCAATAGAAACCCCTTCGGTCAACATGTCGAATTCTTATCAAAAACGAGCTCCATATAAGTCAAGTTCATTAGATGTAATGTTTAGTCTGTGCTAGCTACGATGCGCAACTTTTTCCCTCGGATGGTCCAAGAAGTCGATTTGCTCGAGACGCACTTTCATTGGACAGCGGCAGTTCTTAGGTGTAGAGTTCAGCCAGTGTCTTTTACTTATAGTATTTTGGAAATTTGAAAAGAGCTCTGTATTTGAAGGGGATTAGATTCAAAGGTAGGGTAAAGTAAGTACGCACATATGTTGCCTTCATGGGAATGAACGAATTTTTGAAAACAACTAGCGGGGAAATTTAGACTCTTTTGTACGTTAACAATGGCTTTAATCTGGATCAGTTAGTGTCTTCTTAAAGGGTATAAGCAGCAATAAGTAAAACGAATATAAGTATTGCATGTATAAAAACAATGCAATCAGCTGTAAATATGTAACAGACATTACGCCTAAGGCTCTTTTTTCCGCTTGGATCTCCAGATATTGGAATGAAAAATTCAAATTTTGGTCAATCAATGAAGTTTTGAAAACGTTGCAATGTAATTTTCCAATTTAATTGTTTTCGTTGCATTCTATTAAATCACTTCTATTGTGAGTTCAAAGATTGCTTTGGAGGTTTGTTTGTGGTAATTAACTAACTTCTTCTTAGTTCTGAATATTATTTTAAAGCTTTTCAATTATGCTTCTAAATATTTTTTGTGGCTATTTTATTCAAGCTATGTTTCTATTCAAATGTTCCCATAAGCTTTATATCTATTTTCCGGATGTTGCGGCATCCTTGCTTCGATTTAATTTGCATATTTTTTTTGAATAATAATTGGAAAAATATATATTTATTATCCTCGATAATATCCAATGGTAATAAATAAAAATACTCTCATTTCAATGAATTTTTTGTATAGTTTATATAATTTAATAAATAATCGACTGCCAGTTTTTTATGTTTTTGAGACATTTTGCCCAATTTTCAACTGCTTTTTTAATTACCTACTTATTTTATTTTAATTTGATGCTTCCCCATTCCCTTTAATAGGCTAGTTTTATTAAAAAATTGCCTAAATGTCCATGAATAAATGCCAGTTAAAACATAAAGTAATATTAATGACATAATTGGTTTTAAACAGACCTTGTCGTATTCAAAATCTGCCTGATTTAAAATCATAATATTCCTTATGAAGCCTTTAACAAGTATTCACCGATTAAAAATGTTCTGTAAAAAATTGATCTTTAATTGATTCAATTAATATTCATTAATTCAAGCCATCTTAAGAATACAAAATTTCTTTTGCATCTCCATGTCTGTCATGTATAAGCATTTTTAATACGAATCGTTGCATACGAATTACTTAATTAAACAAGATTCATACGTGCAAAAATATCATTCAGTAGTTTGTCGGTCTCAATGAAGAATGTGCTAATTGGACCATTCACAAAATTTCTCAAGCCGCCTTGTGCTTATTGTAATTAAGTGGCTAATTGAAAGCAATAAATAATAAGTAGGCTAGAAATAAGGTGTAATTGTTATTTATACACCTCAATACTGTTCAAAACCGTCACTATTAAACATATAAACTATTCATTTTGCCCAGAAGCGCTCGATAAAGTTGAAATGTGAATTAAAAAATCACGAAGTCTGTTGGAATTAATCTGATGGGTCATTGCTAAATATGAAAATTGCGAAGGTCAAGAAGAACAGCTACAACAACAGACCTTCACTAAACCAAAATACAAAAATAATCACATTTGTCTCTAATCAAACATATTTCAAAAAATCGATCTTAAGAGTTAAAGTTTATTTATAGATATACAGGGTTAGTTGTTAGAAGGGTGTTTTTAAGTGAGCCTGGAAGGTTTGGAGGCGATTTACGGTGAGGACCAGGTTTTTCTTGACAAACTTTGATATGTTGGATACAAAAAGCTTATTTATAAAATATATAATTTTAGACTGGCTTTGTTTTGTATTACAAGTTTAAATTAAATTTCCACTTACATTCAATAGATTCTTTACTTAATACCAGTTAAAATTAAAACAAATACAGAAAAAGTTTAAGTGTTCGGTTTGTGCCACTCCTATGAACCGACAATATGAACTTGAACGCGTAAGTAAAACCTCATTTAAACTGCTCAACAAAATGAACGTTACATAGCCAAATTTGCCCTTTGGAACTGGATAAATTCAGATTGCTTAYACYGATTTGAATTTTGTTTGAAGCGTTATTGAGCCCCATTAATTTTTTGTCAGTCAATGTTTTGCTWGAAATTAAGCACCGCAGATAATTTTTTTTCAGGGCKGCAAATGTTAAATMCAAAAATTTTAAAAGTTAGGCATGCCGCTAATTGGGCAGAAATTGGAGARGTTTTTCGAATCTCAACAYMAAAAGTTTAAAAGGAGACCAAATAGCTCAAAACGGTTTTTGAATTTTTCCGCCGAAAATTTCCGCTCTTGGMCCAATTTTAACGATCTAAAGCTCAYGTTGAAGCTAAAATCTCCTAGATGATTTGCCGCAAAAATATCRACATACACGGTTGCACAAAAAAWTACCCAAATCAGAATTGCGCYCAAAGTCTGTTGTMGACTCAATTTTCAACTAAGTGAAGTTTGAAKAAATATTTCGTTYATTCATGCAATYCCGGTATATTGAGTTTCTTTCGGAAGTCGACTGTGAAGTTTTAGCTTCAAAATGAGCCCTGAATTTTGAAAATTGGTTTTTGAGAAGAAAATTTATCACTACAAGGGCAAAAAGTTTATTTTTTCAAGACCACTTAGTAAATAAACRAGAYKAGCAATAAATTAAAAARCTTTTGTGAGATATTAGGTCTATCTTAATGTGTATGCCATTGAAATRGAAACAAACTTTTTTTCTCCCACTAAGAGCATGTGGAACTTTCACTCATTATGCAATGTTTCATTTGCCACCCTGTAGAAACTTTATCTGAAGCACAATTTTTTTGCATAAACGGGCACTAACCGAAAAAGAATTGCACTAAATAACGCTTCAAACAGAA